AAAGCACGACACCAAGGGCTCTTTTTCAATGAGCTCAGTGAGGGCATAGTTTGCTCACAAGTAGAGTGAATGAGGGGGACCAAAATAGAAAATGAAGTTCAAGAGGTAATGCGGTTGGGGAGAGGGGGGAGATCGTGTCGAACTTGTAAGTCAACATAAGGATGAGGAGAGGAGAGATAACATTTTAAAAAGATCATCTGGCTGTTGGGTAGGAACTGACGGTGGCTTGGCCTAGGATGGTGACTATGGAGTTGGTGAGAAATTGGATTTGGGGTGTATTTTGAAGGTAGAGCCATTGCTCCCCAACCCCACTTCCTGGCTCCTGCTAGTCCTGCCACCACTCCTCCTGCCTATCTCTGAACACTCCTAGCCAGCATCTGGTGCTCACAGGATGTGCCCACCTAGGTGATGCTGGCTTTGGCCAGCCACCTGAGCACAGTGGAGTCGGAGAAACAGAAGCTGCGGGCTCAGGTGCGGCGGCTGTGCCAGGAGAACCAGTGGCTCCGGGATGAGCTGGCAGGTACCCAGCAGCGGTTGCAGCGCAGCGAGCAGGCCGTGGCTCAGCTGGAGGAGGAAAAGAAGCACCTGGAGTTCCTGGGGCAGCTACGGCAGTATGACGACGATGGGCACACCACGGTAAGCAAGCGTGTGCGGGCGCCAGGGTGGGGGGTGCGGATAGCTGGGAGTCCCCACAGTCATGGGACAATGGCCCCATCATCTGCAGGGGCAACACTGCTGCTCAGCCTGCCCCCCCCCCCCCCCGGCAGAATTCAGGTCCTGACCCCAGCTCCAGCTGACAGCAAGGGGAAAGAATATTCACTCATTCAATCAACATTTCACTAAGTGACTATCACATATGCCAGGCACTGTGCACTCCCCTGGGGATGCAACAGTGGACAAGGCAGAGTTCCTGCTCTCACAGTTACAGATTTGTGCGGGGGAGACAGATAAACACCCGGACAGTTCCAATCCAGAATCCTAAGTGCTGCAGTTAGGGAAAGCATAGCCCAGTTGAACAAGAACTTCCTAAAATTTGCTCTCAAGATGTATGAAATTTAACTCTCACTCAACAGGCATTTATATATCTTTATGCCTTAAACAGCTCAAGAAGATGCATATAGGAGACATGTAAAGAACTAGAAAAGAGAGTTTCTGGGTTTTTTGACCTTATAATGTAGCTGTAGGAACAAGACTTACGTATGAGAACTCATGTGGGACAACACAAAGCAGCAAGTGCTCGGTGCTGGGTGAGAGATCCAGTCAGTGTGGGAAGAATTGCAAGGAGACAGGTTCCTGGGGACTGGAATGGTCTGAGAAAGAGTCACAGAGGAGGCAGGGTGCAGGGATGGTGAGATGTAGGTTAGATTTTTACATTTAAATGGTTAGGAGTTCGGATAGATTTTGATGGATGATGAGGGAGAGGGAGGAGCTGTCTAAACTGGGGGGTAGGGGTGTCGTAGATAAGGCTCCAGGACTGCAAAGCTGGTCTATTCCAGGGAAAGTGTGCTGGTTGCATGGGACACAATGGGGAAGCTGGGCAGCAGGGTTGGAGGTGTTTGCACAAGGCTGCAATGCCTGTGGGCACAGCAGAGTTGCCCGTGTGAAAGTAGGTTAGACAGTGAGGGTTGGGCACTGAGTCCAGCATGAGCCGTGGCAGATGATGGGTACGTGTCAGTAAGATCACACACTCCCTGCCCTCAGGACAGACAGGACAGACGTATAATCAATGTAAACACACAGGACTATAATTACAGGAGTTGAGGGGGCGAGAGGTGGAGGCGGGAGAATGAGGGTACTTAGGAAGGAAGCTCTCTGAATGTGAAGAAAGGGAAAGTTGAGATTTGCAAATGAGAGGCCTTAGCTTGGTGAGACGAATGCTGGCCTTCCCAGGGCCAGGGACATGAACAGGGTTCGTTTCCTGGACCTCACCTGTCAGGGATTTCATGGTTCCGAGGGGCCCTGAAGAGGTTACTGGGGCGATATCTTTGCTGCTGCTTTCTTTCTAGGAGGAGAAGGAGGGTGATGCCACCAAGGATTCCCTGGATGACCTTTTCCCCAATGAGGAAGAAGAAGACCCAAGCAATGGCTGTGAGTCTGTCTCTGGAGTGGGAGGGTGAAGAGGGGCAGCAGGAGCCTGGCCCAGCTGTGCCCCCTCCCCCAGCCCCCGTACAAAGGATGCTCACCATCCAGAAATAGGTTCTCCATCTTCCTCTGGAGATGGGGCAGAGACTTGGCTGGTACTCTGATTTCCTCAGCCTCCCCATCATTTCTTACGCATCAACATTGCCAGGTACTGTGCTAGGTGCTAGGCATACTGAGAGGAGAACGACGGGGCTGGCAGTAAGGAGTTCACAGTTGAGTGGGAGAGTGGCCCTGGAGTGGAGGAACATGAGCTCCTCCAGGGAGAGAACCAGGTCTCTCTTATCTTTGTATCTCTGGCACAGCCCCGGGCTCATACTTATGAAGGAAATGTTTGTTGAGTGAATGAATTACTGGGTGAACAAATGGGACAGGTTCAAGGGAGTGGGCAAAAGAATAATAGTTGAGGCAGATCTCCAGAGAGCCTGGTGCAGGCGGGACGGGGGGGGCCGGGCAGGTGGCAGCGTGGAGTAGACAGGGAGTAAGGTGGGTAGGGCAGGCGGCAAAGGAGAGAGGAGAGCTCTGAAGGAGTCCTCCTGTTCGTTTTCTCGGATGGTTTAGTGGCACGT